ATAATCAGACACTCGGTTTCGAACATTTCTTTCGATAAACGTTCTAAACACGGTCACAGTCTTCTAAAATTTCGTTTGTTTATGAAAGAGAAGAGCAATCGTGATTTTTTAATTTTGTTTGAAACTAATTCAATTTAATCTAACTTACATTGAAACTTACAACTCGTATCACACTGTCGTGTTAATTCAAATAGACGTGATCTGATCCGTATTTAATCCTGATAAAGTTTAATAAAATGATGAAAAAAAAATAATCGTACGACAAGTTTTAAAAGGTTGTTGTAAAGGGAAAACTTCAATCTTTGAAATTAACAATTTTCTAGTGTAAATTTTTATTTTATAGTTAGAAGTATCCTCGTTTTTCCCGTTCGCCGTACGATGTAAAATCATCTTCGAAAAGAACGAACTCGCGACTGTTTAAAACAGGAGTTTCGCGCTTCAAAGTGAGACCAAGTGAATCGTCACGCGATTTTTTTTTTTTTTTACATCGGTTAAATTTCTCGTCGTCATTGATGACAATTATTACGCTCTTCACTGTGCGTGTCTGCAAATGCAAGCTGTTGCATCTTTGGTTTCAATACAAGCGGATTCAGATTTTCTCCCAGAATATGTTTACATTAATAAGCCATTTTTGTGCAAAACTTGGTGTCAACGACTCGATCCAAAATCCAGGTTACACCATTTTGATTTAACACGAGTCTCCGCATGCTAACGAGCAGCAGCGCGTGTATATCTAAATTCCAAGCCACATAGCATTGTAGAGGGTTAACCTCTGGAGAGACACGTACTCGATTTTCCACGTGTTATGCAAGCTTCTCGCGTTCATTCCCATATCCACCTCGCCGGTAGCCAAGTCAGCCATCATTCCCACCATGCTCCCGTGACTATCAATCCCGCCTAGATTGTACGCGGTGCCGGTGTACACGCGCACGCGAACACTCGCGTTCAACTTCTCGAACACTATCTTCAGAATTTCGCTGTTGTCACCGGAGAATCTTTGCAAGCCTGTCTTGGTCGGATCGATTCGGAGATGGGGCTCGAAGGCTATGGCGTTCATTCTGACCTCGTAGCCGTTCAGATCCTTCGCCTTGTCGAACGTCAAGCCCTCGCATGTCCTTGAACCTTTCAAATGTGAGATGTTGTATGCCATTTGTGCAAATAGAAATCAAAATGACAAACTTTAATAATTTTTCTTTTTTCTTTTTTTTTTGTTAGATGTACTCTTGGAGATTCAAATGATTTAAATGCGTAAATAAAAGCTTGTGTGATACTCCATGTATTTGTTTTAATTTCAGTTAAGATTATTTAATAAAATATCGTTAATATGATGATTTTCGACGCAGATAGGCGTCCTTTTTTTTTTCTTATTTAAGGTTTGGAACGTCGTTTGTTACTGAAATAACAGAGGAAATGAGAGTATAAACTTTGTACAAGGTTACAGTCTTTAAGGAAAGCGGAGACGCAATAGCAAGCTGGGATATCCGGTTTAGCAATCATTATGTCAACTTTTAGGAGAAAGAATAATTTGTATTTGCTGAGGTTCTTGATAAGTTTTTTTGGTCTTTTGGGTGTATCGAATATAAACGTCTTATTTTTATAAAATGCATTTCTACTGCAAAACAACGTGTACGTTCTGTTCTTACGACAATGTTCTAAATGGTGCTAATAGCACGCTGATTATCACATAGTGGTAAAAATATCCTTTGCTCGGTATTTTCGCTAGAAAAGAAAATATTCAATAATGACCAAGGTTTCAGAGTGTATAGGACTTAAAATGTACAGAGTGGTCCATTTCAGTGGGGTCAGCTAAATATCTTTTCGAATTGTGACGATATAAAAAATATTTTTTGCTTAATAAGAACGATATCCAAAATATGGGAAGAGTATTTTTTCTCAAGGTCTCTTTTTCAAAGTCATTGATGTCTTTCATATATATATATATGAAAGAAAAAACGTCAATGAAAAAGAGACCTTGAGAAAAAATACTCATATATATTCTTTATATTATATATGTATATATTCTTTTTTATTGTATCGTTAGTTAAAAAATATTTTTCGTATCATAACAATTCGAAAAGATATTTAGGTGACCTGAGTTAAAATGCAGCATCATTCTGTACAAAGTGGGTGTGCAAGAGAACGAGAGAAATCTTCAGCGAAGAACAACGAGCGAAACAGCTTATATCACCTTGATACTTCATTCTCAACAATGTCCAAGGATGTCCGCCGCGCCCTCTGAACTGGCCAACGTTCCTCCAAACCGCTGGCGCCGCGCTTGAGTACGGATTGTAGGTGTAAAGGACGATCCCCTCGGCAGGATCGACGCATGGAAATATCGTGGACAGTCTGTCGTGTTGCCAGGCCGCCCACAGAAATGCGCGAGCGTTCACGCAGCCGCGTTCCACGGTCTTTCTGTCCATCAGAATATGCAGCCCCTGGAAGTTGTCCCAGCCAGAGTCCTTCGTCCTCTGCAGCAACAGCCGGAGCAACGGCAACGAGGACGCGACCACGACGAACTGGCCCAACTTGCGAAATAACTGCGTCACGGAGACCTGCTTGTATGTCGTGTACGAATGTTTCCCGAGAGTTAGTATCTCGAACGCCGTCGATTTCGATTCAGAGATCAACGCGACTGGCAGATCATTGACCAGGCATCGTTGAAAGAATTCTTCGTATTCTCCGGCTAGTAGAATCGCGTCGCCTGCGTGGTGGTTCGTGCAAGATCGAACGATCGTCATCTGAAAGAATGAAGAACTTTCTAATGAAAATTTCTTTGTTCGATTAGTCTGTACTTATCTATCATACTGAGACTTATCCATCTATCGAGACGAGTACTATAAAATTGGAAATATTAAATGGAGTGCAGTGTAAGTCACCTCTCGTTAGAAATTTATGGCCTGCGGATATCCGGATTTGTTGCTAAAACTCATCGGTCGAACATTGCGCGAATGACTTTTAATAAAAAAAAGATTTACATTAATTGGCTTTTCAAGTCCTGCGAATAATATCTTATATGATATAGAACGCTTGGATAATTATTCCATTGCATTTTTGCAATCCATGATATCATACATTTGTTATCTTTATCTCTCATTGACTTTAATAAATAACTGTCTAAGCATTATGTTGTTCAATATCGTCCAGTGTGATTCGATCACACATAGATTGCATCGTTGATAATATTTATTATCGTCATTATTTGTAGTTTTTAGAGGTTTTATACTCTCGTAAAATTATCAGAAAATTTTGTCAAATAATTTACGAAAAAACTTAAGGCCGATCTTTCCTTAAAGCGTCACATTCTTAAAATTGTTTCGAATGCTAATAATCATGTAATAACTGTTAATCAAAGTACAATACTAAAAACGTATATAAAATTGAATGATTCGATCACCTAAAACTTCTTGCTCAGAGCGTACGTGTAAATAATGTAATGTAATGCAACGTAAATTTTTGAATTTGATGTGCAACATTTGTATTCTATTCGACTGTTCTTGAAAAATATCGTTGCCTTGGAGAACTATTTTTCAGAGCGAAACACCGTTAATACTTGTATGTAGCTGCAACTTAAGTACCGTTTTGTCGATTAGTTCGTTGTAACTGACTCTGTTTCCCATAGTCGCATTAGCGGCCACCGTGGAGATTAATAATAGAGAGTTCCAA